CATTGGCCTATATAAAATAGCAACATCCTTCCTTTTACTCCCCAGTTTTATGGGACTAGGTTATATTGGGACTAGGTTATTATACTTTTAATAAGCCAACATACTTTGTATTCATTTATGTATTATTTATTTTCAGTATCCCTGAACTAGACTGTTAATTCCATGAGATGGTCACTTGATTTATTTTGATAGCTGTGGTATTAATTCCTAGGATGGTGTCTATCATATAAAAATGCTCCGTAAACACTAGTTGAATGAAGGATGAATTAATATATTAGATGTGGGTATTTTGTTGTTACTGCTTTTCTTTTTGATATCTGTTCTGGTAGGTACTCTTTCAATCGAGGATTCTTAAATTCCAAAATATTCCTAGCAATTGACTACTAAATATTTGTTTTACTTTTCATCTCTTTAAAATTTGTTTTTGGAAAATTGAAGAACCTATACAAAGAAAATTATAATACATTGTTAAAAGAAATAGAAGAAGACACAAAGAAATGGAAAGACATCCCTGCTCTAGGGTAGGAAGACATTATCAAAATTGCAATCCTCACAAAAGCTATTCAAATGAAAAAAAAAAATCCAGTGACATTCTGCTAAGAGGTAGGACAGATACTGAAGAAATTCATATGGAACCACAAAAGACCTAAATAGCCAAAAACTCTCTTGATCAAAAAGAGGGAGAATGGAGGTATCACACCCCCAGACTTCACAGTTTACTACATAATAATTAAAACTGTATGATACTGGAGTAACAACAGACACACAGACCACTGGTATTTTACATAAGACAATGAACAAACCACTAAGAAATAAATCCACATATTTATGGACCAATAATCTGACTGAGGTGCAAAGAATATTCAGTGAAACAAATATTCAGTTTGTTCAATAACTGGACTGCTACATGCAAAAAAAAAAAAAAGAAGAAGCCAAATTACTTCTTCACACCATACACAAAAATCAACTAAAAATGGGTAAAAGACTTGGACATAAAACCTGATGCCAGAAATATATAGAAGAAAATCTAGGCAAAACACTACATAATGTACATCTCAGTAACATCTTTGAAGACACATTTCCCAAAGCAAAGCAAGTTAAGAAAAGATGTTGTTCAACTGGTATTACATCAAATTAAAATGCTTCTGTACAGCAAAAGAGACATTAACCAAAACACCAAAGCATCCTAATAATTGGGGAAAAATTTTGCACACAATATTAATGGTAAGGGATTGATCTCAAAGATATACAAAGAACTGATGTGACTCAAAAAATAAAGAATCCAGTCAAAAATAGAAGAGGTAAAAAGGCACTACTCCAAAGAAGAAATGCAGTGGCCAACAGATATATGAAAAACTGTTCAATGTCACTTGTAATCAGGGACATGCAAATTAAAATCAAATGAGACACCACCGTATTTATACCAGTGAGAATGGTTGCATATTTAAAAAAAAAAAAAACAGAAAACAACAAATGTTGGTGAGGACATGGAGGAAAAGGGGCTTTCCTACACTGCTGGTGGGAATGCAAATTGGTCCATCTGCTATGGAAAGCTGCATAGCTGTTCTTCAAACTCCTAAAAATGGAGTTACCATATGACCCAGCAATTCCACTCCTACGAGTCTACCCAAAGATAAAAAAAAAATAATTCAAAAGGATACCTGCACTGCTATGCATACTACAGCACTATTTATAATAGCTAATAATGGAAAAACCCAAAAACCCATAAATATATGACTAGATCAAGAAGATATGGTATATATACACAATGGTACACTGTTCAGCAAACAAAAAAGAAAAACTCATACCATTTGCAGAAACATGGTTAGAGCTGGAAAAGGATTATGCTCAGTGAAATAAACCAGAAGGAAAAGGAAAAATATGGGATAGTTTCATTTATAGGAGGAGTGTAAGGCAATCAAATTAGAGATCAGGAAAAAAGGTAATTATAATAAATTAAATCATGATTAACAGACAACTATTAATCAGAGATACTCTTCACGGGTGGCAGAAGGGGAGAAGTCAAACAAGGGAAGGAAGAACAGAGGGAACTATGGTAATGGTGCACAGGTAAATTGGTGGTGGGAATTTTACAGAGACTACACCTGAAAGGAGAAAGTACGCATTGTACAAAATGGAAGAATGGTGTAAAATGTGCATATAAAAAGAAAGAAATAGGAATAAATGTCAGAATAAAAATAAGATTTTCTTTTGGAACTCTATAGGTATACTTTGGAGTTTGCCAATGAAATCTACATTTTTTAATATTTCTATATTTTTAATTTAATTGCTTTCCTTTATTTAAAGCTTTATTTATGCATACAGAACTGGGGTACAGGCCAGAGAGGCAAGGGC